TAACCATTCAGTGTTATGATGATCGAGTGACCAATCACTGTGTCGATGAAGTAACTATCGTTATTACCATGTGGATACATATATTTTTCATGTTATTTAACCATAACTTCACTTCTTTTTATCAGATTTATTTCATTGTTGTATGTAACTATCAGCGTGTATTATCTTCAGTTATGTTATCAAAATTGAGTAGTTGTAGTCAAAGTTTCTATAGATTTATGCTGTTTTCCTGACGCAAAGAAACACACTTTGGCCTGTATTCAGCCATTTCTATCAGTTTACATAAGTGTATTCTCCCTGATTGGCTCAATTAAAACAACCAATCATATTAATTGACGCCAAGGATTAAAATTCCAAGGTGTGAATCCACCCTTGTCTTTAAATAGACAAAGAGTGTTAATTAAGACAGACTTCATCCTTTGTACTCCACGTGATACATTGTTCCAAATCGTCCTAGCGTATGTAGTTTTTCAACTAGTTCTATCTCGTTGCTGTACAACTGAATAAATGCGTGTTCACCATTAGATTATTGCACATTGGTATACCGTCCACTGCTTGATGTATCTACAGTCTATCTGGTGAGATTTAAAGATCCTATACTGCTTGTGGCAGTTTTCCCCCACAGTAACAAATCAGTGTGTCGATGAAGTAACCAATCAGTGTTATGATGATAAAGTGACCAATCAATGTGTCGATAATGTCACAGTAGTTTACTACCTAAATAGTAGGTATACCTACTTGTCAATATCAGGTCAGCTAGGTATACCTACTTGTCAATATCAGGTCAGCTAGGTATACCTACTTGTCAATATCAGGTCAGCTAGGTATACCTACTTGTCAATATCAGGTCAGCTAGGTATACCTACTTGTCAATATCAGGTCAGCTAGGTATACCTACTTAACAATATCTGGTCAGCTCGGTATACTAGTACCCACTTGTCAATATCAGGTCAGCTAGGTATACCTACTTGTCAATATCAGGTCAGCTAGGTATACCTACTTGTCAATATCAGGTCAGCTAGGTATACCTACTTTTCAATATCAGGTCAGCTAGGTAAACCTACTTGTCAATATCAGGTCAGCTAGGTAAACCTACTTGTCAATATCAGGTCAGCTAGGTATACCTACTTGTCAATATCAGGTCAGCTAGGTATACCTACTTGTCAATATCAGGTCAGCTAGGTATACCTACTTGCCAATATCAGGTCAGCTAGGTATACCTACTTGTCAATATCAGGTCAGCTAGGTATACCTACTCGTCAATATCAGGTCAGCTAGGTAAACCTACTCGTCAATATCAGGTCAGCTAGGTAAACCTACTTGTCAATATCAGGTCAGCTAGGTAAACCTACTTGTCAATATCAGGTCAGCTAGGTATACCTACTTGTCAATATCAGGTCAGCTAGGTATACCTACTCGTCAATATTAGGTCAGCTAGGTAAACCTACTCGTCAATATCAGGTCAGCTAGGTATACCTACTTGTCAATATCAGGTCAGCTAGGTATACCTACTTGTCAATACCAGGTCAGCTAGGTATACCTACTTGTCAATATCAGGTTAGCTAGGTATACCTACTTGTCAATATCAGGTCAGCTAGGTATACCTACTTGTCACTATCAGGTCAGTTAGGTATACCTACTTGTCAATATCAGGTCAGCTAGGTATACCTACTTGTCAATATCAGGTCAGCTAGGTATACTTATATCAATATTTGCGTTTCTCTGATTTGAGATAAAACCAAACTATGAGACATGTCACGCGTTGTGATGGCAACACGCAACGTGTATACAAACGCGCCCTTTTCTTCTTTCTTTCCTCCCTCTTCGTCACCCTTCCTTCCTCCCTCTTTACGTACTTAATTACTATTTATTTAGGTATGTATTTGTTATATCATTGTCTCCAGAAAGAGTAGTACAATTTTTAATTAATAAAAGCAACACGGACACAACGGTAGTTGATAAGTATCCTCGGGAGCGGGCATCCGGGCATTTTTACCGTCTGGCAACCATCACTGTGAAAACAAGGGTCGAAAACTCTCAGAAAACGGTACTTTGGAATAGTTGTTCAGACTCCCCTGAACAGTGTAACAAGATTACCCCCCGCGCGTGCAACATATATAAATTTGGTTGTTCGGGATTACTTCAAAGTTGAGTTTGTGTTGTGAATTAATGAACGAATTTACGTTACAATCCCATGCTACCGAACAACCTGGCCTTTATGCCGAACAAAGCACTGTCTACGATATACTGCAAAGTAGAAATAATTTACCCATTTAATCGCTGTTGATTTTTGTACAAAATTCCAAGAACACAAAACAAACAACTGACAACAATCGACAAAACAAAAACTGCCGTGTACACTACACAGTCACTGTAGTGAAAGCATAAACAAAGATACTGTGGAAGTCATGACAAATATTAATACAGAATAAATGTAAGTGAATACAATATTTATAACAAAATCTTTGACAACCCCTAATATTGCAAAACGGTTAGTTGTGGACTGAACTTTAAATCTCATTTGGATTTCCGCATGAAGTTACACAGATCGAAACACAAAAATGCTTTATTAAAGCGGGGAAATCGTCACCTGCGCATGTGCCAGATGGCCATAGCCAATCTCCCAGGCAGAGTTCTATTCCACGTGATCTAACCGCAAGGAACTCTGGGAAGGAGAATGGGCCATAGCGTGCGTTGTGTCGTCACCGGAAGCGCTGTCCCAGCACAAACCTGTGTCATATGACGCCTTACTAGCCGATTTTGGCTAAAATTCCGCTCCGCCGCCTCTTTACAACAGTGTTTATACGCGGAACTTGATATTGCTTTTTACAATTTGGGTTGTCTTTGAATCACATATTTTAGTGAAACATTGTTTATAGAGTGAAATGTTATTGTCATACATAATTCAATCTTTGAAACAACAGAAACTAACACATAATAACGATAATCAAATTTGTGTTTGAAGTTCTAAAGAACTTGCGTAATTTCCGGTTTCAACTAGTTTCAACTCGATAAAATCACGCGTAGAACGTCTTCCGAACCAGACACTAGAAGCGGAAGCTTATTGCAGATTTGCGCAATTTGGGCCCAGTTTGTTCTTACAAGTTTTCTAAGTTTCATTTATCATTATTTAGTAAACAGGCCCATGAAACGATTTAATATATCCGTAAAATACGTGCCAACCAACGACTGACTTTGAAACGTTTGAAGTTTCGAACAAACTCCCGGCACACCTTGCGCGATATGCGTCAGATCGGTGTAGAAGACGCCGACCTGCAGCGTCAATGGTGTCATTGTTTACAAACAAGCGTCTACCCATGAGCCTTTGCGTTTTTAGCGTGTGATGTTATCGTCACTTTGGACTCAATTCCTGCGCGTGCGCAGGTGACGACCCTCCCGCTTTAATCACATGACAGCAATACGGTTTATTTGTTGAGCAACAACGTGCTGTGTTACTCCAATTAAGTCGAAGTGTATATACATGGCAGGATTTGATACGCCGATAAAAAAACTTTCAACAAACAAGCTGCTCTTTGATTGGTTTGACGGTTAAATGTTAGGATTGTGGAGCCAATCACGACCAATCTTGTAAATAGTTTCACGCCAGTAGTTTAGTCATAAATGAAATTAGTAAATACTGGAATAATTCTGCTATGATGACATGGTCGCTGCATCTCCCTCTGGTATTTTTGTTTCAAGAAAGTAGCATTTCAAACTGTTCCCTAAATTGGCTGATGGCTGCATGTGATTGGTTGATGGCTGCATGTGATTAGTTAATGGTTGCATGTGATTGGTTGATGGCTGCGTGTGATTAGTTAATGGTTACATGTGATTGGTTGATGGCTGCATGTGATTAGTTAGTGGTTGCATGTGATTGGTTGATGGCTTCACTTAGTTGGTTGATGGCTGCATGTGATTGGTTAAGCCGTTGTCTGTTAGCGAGATAAGCAAAACTAGTTTTGTTCATTCTGGAACAATATTCAGGCGCATTGATTTTCACGAATGTCTCATTCCTTCGGCCGCCATAATTAACATCAAATTTATCATCGTCTATGCACTCGGAATGCATTTTATTTAACATGCCTCGAAAAGTAGCTAAGTCTTTACTGAAATTTGGACCGTAGGCATCAACTTTAAGCCACAATGTTATATTGAAGTGTTGATAAAGTTTAAAATCAGCCGAATTCAACTTCAATATTGTTTGTCGCTCCAAGTCACCGATGTCGTAACGTAGGGTATCGCTTCTCTTGTTCCTCTGTGTGTAGACGATGTCTTCAAATTCCCAACACAGAAGCTTTTTCAACAGAAGAAGTGATTCGTCAAAGTACTCAAGAATCATTACCAAATCCAACTCTTTAGATATCCTCTGTATAACGTGGTCTACCATCGTTTCGTTGGCGTAGTCTTCAAGTTCAAGTCCAAGATCGAATATTTGTCTATTACTTAGCAACGTTTTGTGATAAGGATCATGAATACGATTAAAATACATACTCGTGTTTGCGAGAAACGTTTTAAATGGATTTTGAGTGGTGTTGTGTTTAATTTTAGCGTGATTAGAGATTTTGAAAAAACCAAACACTGACTCGTATGCAGATACAGGATGACGTATTATTGTCACGTGCCTGGCATTAGGAATGACGTCATCGATAGCTGATTTGTTGAACGGCACGTGACTCAATAGCATACTATAGTTGGATCCTGGCAGAGGTGGCAACATGTTCTTCGCCATTTTACTATTGAAACGTTCTGTTCTCGAAAAAAAGCCCGGATTCTGTGATGGTAGTGCAAAGGACAGGTTGCGACTGAGGCCATAGTTTATGAATATCGAAGAAACTGTCGTACTCCCTGTTTTGTATGTCTTTACGAATGATACCTTTGTTACCGGGGGACCGCATGCTGGCACCTTCCACCTGTGTAAGAAACAAAACCCAAAATTATTCACTTAGCCTAGACTTGTATACAGTCTTTTATTTTTATTTTTTTCAATAAAATAAAATATCATGGGAGTTTGTAAAAAAATAAACAAATCTTGTTTATTTAGCGGTAACCCGGCTTATTTTATTTTATTTTATTAAAAAACACCAAAAATAAACAAGAGACTGTATGTAAATCTACTCTCAGCTAGACTATTAATAGATGATTTACTGTGAGGTCTCGCGTGTGGCGTGGTCGACGCAAAACTCGAATGATTGGAATTTTCACTGAATTTTGAATATGACATTGATATGACGTCACTACGACCGACGCTATGACCTTTGTCTGTATAGTTTCTACATTTAATTTCACCCAAAACGCGGGATCTCGCAGTGAACGGAAAGTTGTCTATTGGATTTAAAACGGGGGAGTCGTCACTTACGCATGCGTCAGGTGGCCATAGCGTGTCATTGTTTACTAACAAACGTCTACCCATGAGCCTTTGCGTTTTTAGCGTGTGTTGTTATCGTCGCTTGGGACTCAATTCTCGCGTATGCGCAGGTAACGACCCTCCCGCTTTAACGTGTCGTTCGTCACATCACGTCATGTTTGTGGGTTGTGATTGGTCCTGGCAATATCCGGGGATTGTGACTTAGGAGAATACAACACCTGTAAAATTCACTGTTTGCATAACATTCGAAGAGAATGGATTTTACATGAACGTGTGAATGGCGACGATATAAACGTGTAAATGGCATATTGTAATTGAAGAAATGAAACGAAACAAAAAGCGATAACACACGTAATGAAAATTAAACTGTAATCAGTGAAAATGGTTTTATACGCACAATATTTACAACATATTTGCCGAGATTGGCAATATTTAATACGTAAATGGTTCGTTTTGCTAATTACATATAATCAAAAATCTGTAATCAGCGAAACAAGGGTCTTACACGTACAATATTCACAACTGTCAGTCGAAACTGCAGTATCCTTGTAATAATCTCATAGTCATATATGGGGAATTTACAAGACCAGCACGAAACAAAAGACTGATAACAAAACAGGGCGGTAGGCTGAATGGCGATCCGCTCCGCTCAAAAAACACACATTTTTTCGGCTGTTGCCATTGTAGTGATGCTGAATTGTTCGAGTTACGGACATCGAGTTACGAAAATGACCACGCCCATATTTCAGAAACCACTCCCACTTTTGCGAAACCACGCCCAAATTGTAACTCGATGTTCAGTTAACAATGGAGGTAATGAGTCAACAGAACTTCGAGTTACGGGCAACCTATATTTTTATTTTTGTTAAACGTCCACATTTAGTAACAGTTAACAGTTAGCCGAACTTCGAGATACGGGCAACATGGAACTTTTTGTTTTGTTTAACGTTGTATATTTCCCGTTATTCGAAGTTCGGTTAACAGATAATGAAAATTCGAGTTACTAAATTTGGACGTTAAACAAACCAAGTAATCTAGTTTGCCAGTAACTCGAAGTTCGATTGACTGTTATTTTAAAGTTCGAGTTTTTTAATGTTACTAGAAAATTGTATGTGACAACCAGACTATTAGTGCCTGACTTCCTTGGAGGCGTAAATACGATCAATTTTAGCACGGATTACGTTGTGCGAGGTAATGTTACTTCTGTGAGATGTCGCACGTCATACACTAAAACTGGGGGAAAACAGGGTTCTGTTTAAAGGGGGAGGGTCGTAACCTGCGCCCGCACGGGAATTTAGTTCCAAGCGACGATAACAACACACGCTAAATACGCAAAGGCTCATGGATATATGCTTGTTTGTTAACAATGATAAGCAATGGCCATCTGACGCATGCGCAGATGACGACACCCCCGCTTTAATGCGTGCATAGTTAGGAAAGAAAGATTCTTAAACACTGATTTCGCTCAAATTGATTCTTAACATCTCAAATTATCTGTTTTCTGGTGAATATTTCAATATAATTTCTGGCTTGAACGGATTCAGCAACAGCCAAAGTTTCCCTCTTTGTTTATATAAGACCCATATATCTCGCGCATGCGTAGCGCGACGACTACCGCCCTTCAAACACATCGGCTTATACACCTGGCTTCTATACTGGAATCCAGCCATTAAGAGTGTCCTCTCCAGTGCACTCAAGAATGGCCGGGTGAATTGCTACGTAAATACGTAGACGGCACATCCTAGTAATTCAGCATCATCACTAATTGGCTGTCTCCATGGCTTCAGTATATTACCATGGGAACTCGCCCGCACAGACTGACCCGTAGGTAACTTTATTATCCGTAAATTGTTTAAACAACAGTTCCTTTAGTCTATAGAGGTACTGTGTTCAAACACACTCCAAGTTGTAACCGACACCACGCGGCCCCACTGTCAAGGTTATCCATGGACGTCAGATTATATTTGTTATTGAATGGTAAACGTGAACTTGAGGTGAACTACTGGCGCGTTGCTGCAAATGTATTGGTATATTGGGGTGTCATGAAACTACCGGTACCGCCCAACCCATCACAATACATGGGTATTAAAATGTGTTCACTAAGCAGGTGAGACCATAGACCTTAAAAGACTTAAGGTCTATTGTGAGATGAACAACTCTACACATTAAACAAATAGGAAGGAAGAACATACAAAGCTTCTACATGTACTTAGAAGAGGGCACGTGAAGGCTAAGTTTCTCGTCCACCTAAAATGACGCCAATTGAAGATTGTCGTGTATACAAGTAAAAAATATGTTTGATAGTGGGCTAACACATTTTGCAAATACATTTTACAGGTAAACTGTAAAGCCAGTAATTTGGTATGTATTTTAGAATTAGATAGACACCCTATTTTACTGACTAGTATAAAACAAATGATAAAATATTGGCTAAAAATAAAAACAATGAATGAAAACACGCTAGTCCATGAAGCATACAGACTTGGCATAGAGATGGATGATAAAGGTATATTTAATTGGGTATCTGGTATCAAAAATATTTTGCACTATCCGGAAATGGTTAAATCATGGGAAAATAATGATCCAAATTATAACACTAATCTAATCAACAAAATTTGCATTAAATTCAAAAAAGTATTCGAAAACAGAGTCAAGAACAAATGGATGATGATAATAAAAACAAAAAAGAATAAGCTGCGTACATATAGACTGCTAAAGAAAAAAATGCCAGTATGAAAATTATCTAACAACAGTAACAAATGCAAAACATAGAGCAGCATTAACAACATTGAGAATTAGCGCCCATCATAATAATGACGATACAAAAAATTCCTTGCAGTGGTAGAAAGTGCACTGCTTGCGACCAAAATGAGATTGAAGACGAAATGCATTTCTTACTTGAATGCAAGCTGTATGAAAATGAGAGAACTGAAATGTTAAATGAAATAAATTTAATACATTGCAACAACACAAATACCAATTAATTGATTACAATGCTAACAAGCAATTATTATTATTATTATTATTATTATTATTATTATTATTATTATTATTATTATTATATATATATTCGCTGGATTTTATTTTCACTGAATCACTCTTTCAGCAAAAATGAATTCAAAGCGAAAATAAAGTATTTTACTGTGGTTGATTACACCTCATTTGCTTCACCACGGAGTTTGATAAAAAAAAAATATACTGTAACCTCAATATAATGAACACCTACCTTTATAATGAATTTCCTGATATAATGAACACATAACATGTCTCTCTCTCACAACAAATCCATTGTATTATGTGCTTCAATATAGTGAACATTTCACTATAACAAACTAGTTGTATGTCCCCCCAAAGAGTTCGTTATAACGAGGCTACAGTGTTGTATATATAAGTTGTAAGTCCCATTGGTTTTTACGTTAGACGAGACGTCACTATACGTGTTTTAACTAGTAATTTTATATATTTTACCATTCATAGGATACTCCGGTAATATTAGATATAGATCAGTATGCCGAACACTGCCAAGCGCCTTTCTCAAATCATAATCATTCTATCAGGACTGTGCTCAAATCAACGAAGCGTGCATGTTTTTCACCAGTACCTACGTTTGCCAGATATTTTTTGTTAAGATTTAATCATAGTGATTCTTTTTACACGTGAGTCGTCCTGCATATTTCCAGGGTTTTTTTTTTTTTTTTTTTCGTTTCACGTCTCACTGGCGAACACTATTGTGATTGTTCCGTTGACTCGTTTCCACAGCTATGCAAAAAAAGTTGAAATTTCATGGCGCAATCACAGGATTCGGTAACTTATCTCCAGTTTAAACACGCCGGCTAGACTTCAAACAAGAAATTCGGCGCGTTTAGTCGATTCTTGGAAAATAGGGTTACCAATTTACTTCAAGTTATTTTGGTTATAAATAGAACACCGACGATTTTGCCACGTTTTCACGATGTGGGGCGTTTAAATCGGTCAAGACTAAAGTCCAGAGATGTAAATGTCTATATTATAACGAGCCTTGATTGCACAGGAGCAAGGGACTCCATGAAGCATGCTGGGGATAGAAAAGTAAAGGCAATTGTTTGGACAAATTTCATTTGAATTAACGGCATTGCCACTTCTTGTGTTACGTGGTTACTCCGCGGTAGCACAAGTCACTGCCTACTTACCATAGTCTGAACCAACCACTTGTTTGTTTACCCACTGCTTCGCGTAGCAAGACACTTTCCGTCAAAAATACATATTCTAGACCAATCAGCACGACTGTCACAGCGACAATGACCAGAAAAAGATATTTCCTACTCCTATTTCCTACGCGGCAGGCTTGAGTCAACAACATTGCACTTAACCTTCAATAATAGCCC